ACTCCCAGATTCCTCAGATTCACCAGCCAGTGCCACAAGGGAGGAGGAGGAGGAGGAACCTGAGCCGAGGCCCACAGAGCCTGAGGAGAGGCACATACAGTATTAACACATTTCATTAGTTACACCTTCACCTATCGAAGGATGAAAGGACGAACAGTCAGCGCTGGCAAAAAATTAGAAGCTGCTCCCTGAATGTATTGTACATCGCTTTTTGCTAATGAGAAAGAGAAAGTTAGAGCTGGAGCTAAGTGAATCTGTGTAACGTTATTTTTGCCAGTTTGGGTCTCACAATTCAGAGTCACCAGTTTACACAAACATTCGTATTCACACACTCTAATATTAACTTGCATATGCAACAAAATATTCCCCCCACAGCCCGGCTTTCATAACTGAGCAGCACTGCAACAACAGCAGGCTGAGGTGGAGCCTCGGTACGAAAGGATAATATTTTGATCAGCTTTATTTAAGTCACCGATCCATTAAAATATGACTGGATTGGCCCCAATACCAATCTTTAATTATTATTTTTTTTGTTAGTTTGTTTGTAATTGTAATTTGTATTTTTACAAAGCTGCTTGCTGATGTGAGGCTGTGAATTTTGAACCTAAAAGTGTGGAACAATTACTTACTGTATTAAAGAAGGCAGATGGATCGCATAGTTAAATGATTTAACAGTGAAAGGGAAGTAAAGGGCCTAATATTTTATCATCCTGCTTTATCAGGGTCCACTGGTCATCCAAATTATCATCAATTTACAATTTTAATGAGATCTGAAGCTTAGATTGTAATGGCTGAATCTGAAATTACATTTTTCATTTCAAACCTTCTTTCTGTGGTTTGAAGGTGTTTTCTAACAGGGCACTGCTGCCTGATTTATGAATAGGGAGAAGTCTGTAGTGCTGAAAGCCAAGATATTGTTGATCTTGCTGTTTTCAAATCCTGAGGAGGCTATTTTTTGTCTTTTTAGAATTTCAGGGAGCTGTTTTGTCGAAAGAACTTCAAAAGTCAAAATCTTTCCCTTCTTCTTCACTTCCTTTCACTCCCTCTGCCTTTTCAGACTTGGACAGGGCTTTCAGGAGGAGGGAGATGAGTAGAGTTAGGTAAGGTGAACCGAATGAAATGTGGTGTTTTCTCACAGAATATTTATTACATATCTCTGTTGTCAAACACATCCGTCTTGCTCTCAGTCATTCCCTCTTCCATTTGCACTCACTCTTTCTCCAGAGTTTGAAGTCCCTGGACGCCTAAAAGATGCAACTGTCGCACAGAGTTTTAACACCCGCAGGCATGCACACAGTCACGCACACTGAACAGAATTAACGGACCCATCAGTGTTGAATGGCAGCTCTGCACTGAGCTATATACGAGTTCTGTCCACCTGTTTAAACACAGTTTTATGGTCTCTGTCATGAAGCTAGATGGGATTTTTCATGGGCTCAGGCCATTAAACAATAGTCAATAGCATGTCTTTCTCATTTGAATAGTTAAACCTGTACCTGTACCTGTTTTGTTTTTCATGATGCTGCATAATAGGCTGCATAACAATAGATACACGTACAGTTGTAGGTCACCTTGGCAACAGCTATGGAGAGGTAAGTGATTCTTGTGGCATTGTTAAAAAAAAAAACACACAGCAATACACACACATACAAATATATGAAGGTACATGGGGTCCATTCATCAACCTCTCATGGTGGGAATGCTGATTGCCAGGAACCTGCCTCGCTTTTTAAAAAGAAAGAAAACGCATTTGCTTTCAGCCTCGTCGCAGGATCAAATCCCCACCGAACGCCATGCGGGGATCTGAGCGTTCATGGCAGGCCAACTGCTGAGACTGACTGTGAATATCTGAGGGAGAGTGTTGGGGGTGGCAGTATTTGCCTGCATTGCCACCATCTGCATCCTCTCACCTCCAACACTTTCTGTTTCTGTCTCTCACTGTCTGTCTAGTCTGTCCTCTCTTATTCCTTTTCTTAGCTGACTGTTGCTCCCACCTCTGCTCCGCTTCTCTCGTTTCGACTCATTTATTTTATATAAAACTATACCTCCGTCTTCTCCTTCTCTACATGTCTCCTTCTTACATCCTTCCTCACCTTCTGTATTTCTGTTTCTGATAATTTACCTGACACTACAGGTGTGATCACACTCTCAGCTTGTTTTCTACTACATGGAGCATAGTGGTTTGTTCCATTGTGTTAATTTAGATACACATGAAAGAAGGCTTTCAAGCCAAAACCTTACAGGGCTTGTATACTGGTAATTCAACAAGGGAAATCAAAATATATCATATAATATACAATACAAAATAAATCCAGCCCTATAATCCTGTAACAAAAACTTGTGAATTAAGTTTTGTTAGAACTGAACTTGTTTTCATACTTAAGGACACATGAATAAATAATGCATGCAGGATTGATATATGACTGTAGGATTTGGCAATCTAATAAAACTGGAATATCAATTGAACAATTATCAGTTTAAAATGCTCAAAAGTTCAACCCTATGTGACTGGGTTGGTAATGAGCCTTGCTAGCTGCAGTCGGTCCACCACTCCAGATGGAAATATCTCAACAACCATTAGGTGGGTTCAGTGGCGGTTTTGGGCATGGGCGAAGCGAAGCGGGCAGCCGCCCAGGGCGGCACTTTTTCATGACACATGGAGGGGCGGCACGAGTGCTTAAAAAAAAAAAATCCTATGCTCCGCGAAGCTGTTTTCTATTATCTATCTGTTCTATTATGTCACTGTGTGGGGAATTGGCAAATCGGCGTGAATTGTCTCAAGAACTGTTGAATAATTGCCATGCAACACAGTTATTAATTCATTCTTTCACTTGTTCATTCTTGCAAAGCTAATGACATTCCTATTAACTTAAGCTATACTTTGTGTTTAGTGCTAATTAGCAAATGTAAGCATGCTAGCACGGTAAGCAATGAACATGGTTAACATTATACCTGCAGCACCCCTTTGCCTTAGTGAAGGTTCACAGAGCCACTGTAGAATTTTAGTTTTATTTTAATACTAGAATCAGAATCAGGTTAATTTTAACTCACAAAAAGTCTTGCAGTGAAGGAACAGTTAGTAGCTTGGTGGTAAATTGATTTGGCTTTACAAATGTGCAAATGAAAACTCTTAGAGGTTAGACTGGATTCAGTTATTACCAAAACTTATATCTATTAAATTATACACCTCAAAAAGATTTTTCCCAATTAACAACAAAGAACAATATTGACACTGTTATTCTAGGAGACCCCCCTCCCCTCCTCCTCAAACTGGTGGTGGAGGCTTTCCATGTTTTCTTAAGAAAAATATGGTCTGATGTGGGTCTATAATATCCACTGAAACACATATGACATTTAAGATATTAATTGACTTGCAAGTGAGTGCAAAGAGATACTTCTTATATTCTCAATGAAAGACTCAAGGTCCAATGAAACCTGAATGTCTTTGTAGAAAAGGACAAAAACCTTTATTCATTCCCTGTTATGTCCCTGCGAATCCATGAGACTGGGAGAAGTTAGTGCCAATGAAAAACAGAGAATCTTAATGTCCAATGTTCTGCTTTTTCTTGTAGTTTGCTGTCATCATGTGGCAAATATAAGCACTACAGCAATATTGAACCCTTACACTGACATTCACACATCCTACCACCTGTTTGACAACCTACTGTAGACTCAGTTTTGTAGGGTAAGGTTCAAGCGAGGTGATGAATAATTCACATATCCATAGATACATAATTTTACTTACTAGTCTGACTAAAGAGTATTTAACTAACTCTGAGTTGATATTTAAATATAAGTAGTAAGTATAAGTACTTCCTCAACCCCAGATGTTCTTAGGCTCATATACTTTAAGCTTAATGCTAATTTTACTTAGCATTCTATATTACGTGTACAACTCCATATAAAGGTCTAACATTCCTATTTGTATGTTACACATGTAAACAACTACTGGATGGAACATGCTGATGTTTAGCATGTTACCTTCTTGTTAGCTTCCTGTTAGCATTTTATCCTATCCTGTAATGACCATACAGCGAAAGAACTCCGTCATTCATTTTAGATTGAGAAATTGTGAAAGTTTATTCTTGAACAATATTAAAAAACAAAATCAACTTATTAGCTCTTTCTAGAGCCTTCAGCTTTGTTTTCTACGCTGCCAGTCATGCAGTCACTTTAGACCTAAATATGTCATAATGTATTGCTTCCTACACACTAGTGCTGTGCATGCTAGTTATGACCTTTTTGTGCATGTCTTTGCACCTGAGTCTATTTCAGTATGAGTTCCTGTGACTGTGTGCAAGTGGTCAGTAGCAGCAGAAAGTGTTAGCTGCAGTCTGACTGTGCTTCCTGTAAGCCCACAGCAGGAGTTTGTCACTTCTCTTTGTAAACTCTACGATCTCAGCTCTGCAGGGAGGACAACACATACATGGTGAGTAACACAATGTTTCTGTCTCTTCCATGAGGCACAAATTGTCATTTTGAATTATTTTATAGTTTTCTGAGCTGTCAATACTTTCCTCTTACTGCACTGAAGGTGTACTGGATCCAATTCCACTTCTCATGAAATAAACTCCAGGTGAAGCTTGCGATAGCTTATTGGTTTCATCTGTCAAATCAATTTCTTTAACGTGTGTTGAAGAAAAATGAAAGATTGAAGACTTTTTTGTGGTGCTTTTGGACTGCAGATATCAGAAATGTGTTCCTGTGAATTTTAGATTTCCAGGTTACAGATAGAACTGCTGTTCCCTTTAATGCCTGTATTTTTACATGTAATTAGGACCTGCATCACATTTAAAAAAACATATGCAATTTATATGTACAGACATGTATACGTACAGCTATAGGCTGTAAGCATGTCAGCTTATTGGCTACTTCCTAAGGTTAATAAAACTAGAAATGTACCTGTTAAGTAAAATAAATGCTTGTTCAGCTTTACCATTTGTAAATGTGCACATACATTTGTACCTTTTATTTGTTTTACCTCTTTTAGACGCTTTAACATGGAGGCTACAGCCAAGTACGACTATAAAGCCACAGCCGATGATGAACTCAGCTTCAGGAAGGGAGAGCAATTGCAGGTTAAGGAACATACGCACACACTATACAACACACTCACACCGACCACTCACTCCTCACTCTTATATATTTACAACTTTGTTGTATAGTGGAAAACCCAATATCAAGTTATAAATAGCTTTCAATATGGAAAACATTCAAATAGCAGACTGTTGATAAGGTGCTGGCGGACGTTTTATGTAAATCGGTGTCCCTAGATAAGTTCAGCACACTCATACAGCATGAACAGCTATGGCGTCACACAACATGTGTCATTTTCAATAGTTTGTGCACAAAGTTATGGAAATGTGTTCATTTCCTAATTTCACTGTTACTGCAGTGCAATCTGTATGTCTTTTTGGGCTTCTGTTATAAAATGTAAAAAAGAAAGTAAGTGCAAGTAAATATTAATGCATTGACCACGCAGCTCCAGTGGCAGCAGTGAAAGTATTAATAGTAACAATATTCAAGCAAATAATGCAAACGTGTTTTCACTATTCTAGTCCGGCAAGCAGAGTTTAACAAGTTCTGTGTTTGCACATGGTCGAAGCTTGTGACTTTCACACCGAAACCACTAATTGACATGTTAGTGTTCCTCTTAAATCACAGTGATATTTATAGACCTCATCCTTCACTCTTAATCCCTGATTCAATAATTAACTGTTTGATAGTACTTATTAGGGCAAGGTTAAAAACAATTAAATCATTATTATTAAACAAATAAGATAATTTAAAAAATGTAAAATTCTAGTCTTTTAATTTCAGGTGCCCATAAATCTCATTGTGCCTTTTATTCAAATGTATACACTAACTTAACTGCATAGTAAGTAGCTTCGATAAAATACAGTAAATAAATATGTACAATAATAAAAAGAAAGTGCAACATAAAAGATAAAGGGATCAAATGCAAACAAAGCATTCAGCCTCCACAAAACCCTAAGTCACAAACCACCTACACACACACAAACATGCCCACACCCACAGTAGCTAATTATAAACATGAGAAAAATCTGTTTCACTTTGCACAGCACCAAAGTAACTAAAGGAACTCTGACTAGAAAGTTTTTTTGTGTAGTAAGAAAGTGGAATGGAGGAAGCTGATCAGCTGATAAACAAGGAGGACTGGTTGTCTCTATTTTTAGTACCACTGTGTCAACACCAAATCTACAGAGTGTCAAAAACTGTCCGGTACCAGCAGTTAGCATTGACTGCTTTGTCAGGTCTTACATATGTAATCCATAATCCTTACCTACATATTCATTGATCAGATATTTCCTGAAGTCCTATCTTTGTCAATTTTAGTTATTGATTTGGCCATAATTTGTCTATGACTTCTTGTGTTAGGACGACAATAAACACTGCTGTTTATTGTGTAACATATTGTTATACATATGCCTCTATTCCTCCAGGTACCCTACAGCTCTGGAAAAAAAGTATAGTTTTTTTGTGACCAGCCCTTTAAATCAGATCAGGAAATTATTGCATTGCAGAAAAAGTTGCAAACTGCAGCACCAAAGGTGACTGTACTTTGTGTACGTTTTCTCCCCATTTAATTTCTGCTGTACCTCCAAACCAGTGTTATGTAAAGACTGCTGTGGAGAATATTCAGCTCGATGCAAACTGGTCTTATGTAATTGTGTCTCATGTCTGTGTCAGATTCTGCAGACCACTGGAAACTGGTACAAGGCAGAACTCAATGGAGTTGAGGGCTTTGTACCCCAAAACTATATCGACATGGATCTGCCCAGGTAAAACTCACATAGAGCCAAAGAGAAAATGAAAGAGAAATGTATGCACTGTAGTCTTTTTTTTTAATTACATAGAAGGATGGGATGAAGTTATCTTTACATAAGAGGAAACAACATGAATGAGGGAACTGTTTGTAAACCAAAAAGTGTAATGTTATTGCCTAAGTTTGAAATTTTAGATGAAATGCTAAGATTGAGACTCACAAATGGAAAGAAAGTCATCACGTCACACTAAAAAATACATGAATTTTTATTGAGCTGGTTTTGGTATCTTATGAAAGCTCTGTCATTTTCTGCCTCCTCTGTGACTCCAGCTGGTACCAGGAGGACTCCAGTCGAAGCGACGCCCAGCAGAAGCTGATGTCAGAGCCTGTGGGGGCCTTTCTCATTCGGGGAAGCCAAACTGCAACCCTGGGTCACTTCTCCATATCTGTCAGGTACACCCATTATGTGTTTGGATCTGTATATAGAGCTAGAAAGATATGGTTTCTATTTTCCAACTAGGTTGATGCCCGTTTTAATTTCACTTTTCCAATATATTTTCATTTTCTTTTGTGTTTGAGGCCTGTCAGTCTTATTTTTGTTCAGCCACCAGTTCCCCCCCTCTCTCTTCTGTCTTCTCTCTATTCTGCGTCACCATCACATCAGTGTGGGCTAGAACAAGCCACAATTAGTTATTGCATTTGCACATTTAATTTTTTTTTCTACTAATAACTATTTGGCCACACCACTTCCTCCAGCAGATGCACATTCTCTCTGAGAAACTTTACTGCTTGCAATAGTGTGACATCAATTGTGGGATGTCATAACCAATATTAGCTAAGGCTCCTCATAGTACCTGAATGCACCTTGTAACAGGTCTTGACTGAAATGATAGAAATGTAGAGTCTACAGCTTCCTGACTTCCGACAAAGCCTGCCTATTCAGTGACACTCACCCAGGAGCACATGGTTAACATCACGATATAGGACCGTCCAATCCGTACAAATGTGACACTTTGTAACGAGCAAGACAAGCATCTCACAAAACTTTTGAGGGACTGATGTAACAGTTCATGTTAAGTTTACTGTAACATCTGTTTTACTTTTTGATGATGAAAAAGTGTCTTTTAAAAGGGCAGTGGTGTCTTCTTTTGTGTGCTATCTTCTTGTCTTTCCTTCCTCCCTCCATATCTCTCCCTCATCTCAATCTCTCATAGCTTTTGTTAAATGTATTTCTATCAGAGCGCCTTGCTGTGCATCCAAATTCTCCTCCCTTTACATTCTGTTCTTATTCATCTAATTTGTCTCCTTCTGTCTGGCTGCGCTCTATATTACATAAGAAAAGAAAAATAAAGCATTCTCTTTATTTTTACTCCACTGTAGACATGCAGCAGATGTGCAGCACTTCAAGGTGATGCGGGACAGCAGAGGGCAGTATTACCTCTGGTCACAGAAGTTCCCTTCTCTCAACCAGCTGGTGGAATATTACAAAAAAAATTCTATCTCCAAACATTGTCCGATATTCCTAAAAGAGATGGAACAACAGGTAGGAAACCTACTCATAGCAACATATGTAAGACATGTCCACTCACTGCAATGTGTTTGTAGTCCAAGTACAGTGTTAGTATTAACATTTTCAAATTAAAAGCTTTTAGTTGAATGAGAGGTTAAAAAAATAACTTAAATTATGACATTTTGGTCTCCAACAGCAAAGAGCCGTCTTTCCACCTCTCCCCACTCCTCCACCTCTCCCCACTCCTCCGCTCCCCGACCTCCCACCCACACCTGCGCCGCGAAAGGTACTCAACAGTTCTGTATGTGTGTGTGTTTGTTTTTCTGTGCATACCCTGCTGGTCTAGAAATCTCAGCAAACAAGAAATAGGAAGTTGAAACGTAACGCAGCTCCAATATTACCCACCCAAGAGATTTTTGGTCCTGTAAAGTTCAGTGACACTTGGTTCGTGGTGGGTCTGTGTGTCATCCTGTACGTCCTCCTCCTCTGTGCGCAGCGCAAAGCCTCCTCCACGCTGAAGGTCAGAGCTCTGTACAGTTTCCACGCTGAAGAGATGGACGAGCTGGAGTTCAGTGCTGGCGATATCATTAAGGTCCTGGACTGCTCTGATCCGGCCTGGTGGAGAGGCCAGCTGAGGGACAAGACAGGCCTGTTCCCCACCAACTACACCAAACCCATCTGAGAGGAACACAAACAGGGAAATGCATGTAATAGTACATTAACTGTGCCATATGACTAATGCAAATTCTTGAAACTTTACCCGAACTTACAGAAAGTCACAACCCTAAACTATCAGCAAAAGTGTCCTGTGAAGGAAAGTGTAAGTTGCCTAGAATAAATATGAAGACTAACTTGTTGGTTTAAGCACACACATACTGTACATGGATCTCTGTTTCTCGTCATGGCAAACTTACTGTTAAAGACATACCTTATCACGTAAGGAGTCAATATAAATACATGTATTTATAAGACATTTGAAATACTGACATCTGCTTTTACAACGTGACTGATGCTGAACACATATAAGTTGAACCGATTACACGGTCATATACTGTAGTTACCTGTTAGATCACACATCTCCCCTTTTTTTTTTTTTTTACAGAATTTGGTCTGAATGTTTGATAAAAATGTAACCTACAATATACAAGATATTTATTTTCAAAATGTTTTATTTTTAATAAAAAAACAATGATGACCGTCATTATTGAGAGTTGATAATACTTAATACTCAGGAAAAACATTCATATATTATCCATATCCACATCCATTTTGTGTATTGTGATCATGTCTGCAAAGGTAAACAAGTTTTCTTCTTAAAAACTGAAAAGTGAACACTAGAAGCAAAGGCTTGTGTATACAGTGTGAGACATTTAGAGCTCAGTATGTACAGTGTCATGAATGCTTATTTATGCCGAACACACAGGTATTAGTTTATATACACACCCTCAAGAGTGAATAATGCAAATTTACATTTCATGATTCAGATGAAGTTCAGAGTGTTCCCATTCACCTTGTGAAGGCATATGAAACAGCATATCTTGTTTGGCCTATACAGAAATTTGCTCTTTGCTCAGTTTATTACCTGGTCTGTTGTTGCAGCATTAACAAAGCCTAGAAGGGAAAGAGGAGTTCCTTACAACCCTTCATATTTCCACAGAACCAGCCTTTTTCCAAGTATAAGTCTGCTGCATTCAAGTTCCATCTGTAAGTGTATCATTTGGATCGGAAATCTCAAATGTACCGGTCTTTTTTTTTTTTTAAAGATGGATTATATGTATATTTGAAGAGTCTGGTAATTGTACAGAGGTGAGTTGTGTATTTGGTTGCAAGAATAAAAATAAAACATGATATAATACATTTAATAAAACAAACAGAACTATGCTAGGTTTTGTTTTTATTTGATTTAAAATAATATAAACAAAGAAAAACAGTATTGGTATTCAATGTAAAAACTCAGAATAACTTGTTTTAGGCACATACTGTCAGTAATTGGCTCATTTTGGCAGTGTCTACGGCGTGCTAATATGTCAGTGCTCTTTAGTCCATTTGCACTTGAACGCAGCATGGGTAGAAAACCCATGCCTCGAGCCCCACCTCTCTCCAGGTAAGTAAACTTTCCCAGCTTTAATTTCACCTGTTCAGCGTGACACCGAACAGACCCCACAGGGTGTGCCAGGGTTTCTGAGCTCCAGGAGGGGTGACAGCCATGGCCGAATCCCAGCTGATGTGCATGGAGGACGGCCACATCGGAGCCAAGATCCCGGAGTCCAAACCGGAGTTCTACTACAGCGAGGAGCAGCGCGCGGCCATCGAAGAGCTGCTCAAGAATGGAGATGGCGCCTTCAAAACGCGACTCAAAGAAGACAACATGAAAGACTTTTTATCGGCCAGAGAAGTCAAACAGTTGGTGAACACTTTCAAAAAGTACGACTCGGCTGAAGACGGCGGTGACAGCAAGGCGTCGCCGGGCAGGTCCGGGCAAGGAGCCGCCGGTACAGACGCGGATTCGGGGGTCCATTCAACCTATTGGCCCGAGATGTCCGACACCGAGGTGCCGCCGCTGGACATCGGCTGGCCCAGCGGGGGTTTCTTCAGAGGGGTGACCCGGGTGGCAGTGCACACACACCCGCCTAAAGAAAACGGACCTCACATCAAAGAGGTGGTCCGGCGGCTCATCCAGGAGGCCAACAAGGTGAGGAGGACAGTGGACGGCAGTCATATGATGATAATAATAATAATAATGATGATGATAATAATAATAAGTATTATTATAAATGTCATTTTAATTATTCAGTGTTATTAAGACATTATATTTGGAAAGCTATCAGCATGATATAGGCCTACTACACTCCGACTTTTTAAATCCACCACATTTCTAATAATATTATAAATTATATAATAACATTATTTGCTTAAAATGTTAATGGGCACAATGCATGTAGCCTACCAAACTTATTAGACTAACAATACAAAACAAATAAAGATTAATACCCAATTAACAGCTCTTAAAGTGGAAACATGCGTGAGGATGATGTAGTTCATACAATTAAGATAAAGATGTGTGAACTGCTGTGATAAAAGGTTGAAGATACCAAACAGTGGACTGAACAAGTCATCAGGTGTTAAAGGGAATTCTAAGACAAAGGTGTGAGGTTGGCTGCCAAGTGGTGACAGAAGCAGTTTATACAGGAAGATATTAAACTTTTATCACCTGCTTGAAACATGTTATTTCCACAGTAACCCAATTGGCCCAGTTCACTTCAGCTGCATTACATTCATACCACACATACTCATACAGTATGTGCACACCCGTCTCTATGTCTAACCACAGGTGTTATTTTCTGCAAACATTAAAATTCTGTTGGGGCAGGAATAATCTGACGTGTGTGTGAGGCAAATGAAGGGACAGTGAGTTTTACTGGTACAGAAAACCACCAATCTGAATGGCAAACAAATCAGGAGATGTGGTGCCAACATACAGGACACAAGGCAAAGACAAAAGTAATGTTCGGTAAGGAAAAAGGTGCATGGTAAGGTCGGTTTATTCGATCATGGAGGGGCAACAGTGCTACACTATGTGGCCAAAAGTATGTGGACATGAGAATGTTACATGGTTGAACACGTCATTTCAAAACCGCGGGCATTAAGTAGGTCTGCGACTCACAAATCTAATTATCAATTACTCAGCAGATTATTTCCATAATGACCTGTTTGGTCTATAAAATGTCATGTAATGCAATGTGTGACTCTCTCTCCTCCCTAAGGGGGTGGGCAACCTGCGTCTCTGTAGCGCCTCTCCATGTGGCCCCCTGTGGCTTTGACAAATATTATATGGCAATTAAAAATGTATATCGTATATTTGAATATGTTTATTTCTCGGTGTGAGCCTAAAGTGATTCTTACAGGTTTGTATAAATAGGTTGCCATTACACACCTAATGATTTTTTTTTTAAATGTGTGTCATCCATTAAGTCCTGACCTGGTGCCTTTTTGCCAAACCTCACTAACAGTCGCTATTGAGTCTCCCTAGCTAGCTATGGACTAGCCAAAAAAGAGAAGTCTTGGAGGAAAATGGAGAATTTAATGGTGCATGGACTGATTTTTTGCTTTCACTACCAACTACCAGCGGGAAATTTGCATTAAACGCATTATAAGCATCAAATATGTGTTGCGGCTCCAGGGTGGATTTTTCTTTCTTTATCTGGGGTTAAAAATGGTTCTTTTGATAGTAAAGGTTGTTGACCTCTGCTTCCAAACCAACGTGCAAAACCCAAATACATAAAGTTGACATTTTTAGACGATTTAAGACAACCAGCAAATATTCAGAACCGAGAAGCTGGAAGCAGTAAATTATTGGCATATTCTCTTAAAAAAAAAGTAATCACAATTGTCGTAGATTCATTTCCTTTTGATTAATCGATCAGTTAATCAACAGGATGGGACCTTCCCCAGACTGTTGCCACACAGTTGGTTTATATCGTAGCATTAAGATTACCTTTAATTGAAAGAAACCACGAAAAAACCCAAGATGATGAAAACATTAAGTGGACACAGGTGTCCGTATACTTTTGGCCATGTAATGTGACGCGTGTGTACATGTCTTTACATTACCCACCTCGCATACATCCGGCCTTTTTACTTTTGCCCTTACAACTACAACTTTATTTACTTCAGCTTTATATTCAGTTGCCAGGCGGGGTGAATTCATGTTGAAGTGATTAATACCCCCCCCCACACAGTAACGGAGAGCCTCGAGTGAGTCTGTGTGTTCGAGTTGCCCCTTGTAATGTTTACTCATGTACTCATGGACTGCCGGAGCTCCGCTGACTCATCTGTTCCGCCCGCTCAGTCACACAGAGCCGGGCCTTGCTCAGCTCGCCCTGCCTCATTGTGCCTTCTGTTTTAAAACTGGGTGAAGGAGGATGACAGACGCATGTGTCTGATACTCAGGGGTCTTTTGATTGTCTTTGTTATGCAGCTCATTTGTGAATTTCCATTTGATTCTCTTGAGAAGTTCTTCTGCCTTTCCCCCCTCTCTCCTCACTCTTTTGTTCTTTTCGTTTTGTGGGATCACATTCTCACCCTTCCTTCCTTCCTCCTGGTTTCAAAGTTCAGAAGCATTAGAGCGCTGAACAACTCTTTTTTTTCCTGCTTGTATGCTTTTTAAAGTGCTTTACAAGTAGCTTTGCTTTGCTTTGCTTTACCTTGCTTCCTGCTTGTTCCGCCTTCCACTTCTTACCTCGCCACGCCGGGCATACGTCAGGTCAGCTGATCGTTTTGTTTACTTTTGCACTTACTCATATCTTCCTCAATAAATTAGAACTGGCAACCAACTGGCAGCTAAAGTTAAGAAGTTCTTCTATCTCTTTGGGTGTTTCCCAAAGATGCCAGAGAAAGAAGTTAAATCATTATGCAGTAGGTTGTTGAGCTTGATGTGTGTGTGTGTGTGTGTGTGTGTGTGGAATGTAACAAACATACCAGCTACCACCTGCTGGTAATCAGAAAGGGAAGGAGCTATTCTTAAAACAGTAACACACCACACACACACACACACACACACCTACACACGCACTCCAGATAACACATGTTGAGCAACCAGTTCTCCAGGCCCCGACACATTCGTCTTGGCACGCAGATGTTACATTTCTTCTCATTGGTTGTGTTTAGTTTTTACTCGTTTTATCAGAGTCTTCTGTCCACACAGGTCCCAGCTTGTGTCTCTGTTGTTCGCCCTCACAGGTCCACTCAGCATTTTTCCTCAGTGAGACACTGAGTGGAAACAACAGGCCTTTTCTGCCTCACAGAGGAACATTTGTTGCAAATTTTAAGAGACACTTTTTCCATGACTTTGCTTTTCAGTGAACAGTGGGAACAGTTGAATGTCACACATTTCCTAAACCTTAATTCTCTACTTGAATTGAACATGTCCCTACATGTTTGAAAGGACCACCTCTCTCCTTTTTCTCTCTAAATCTTTCAGCCTGCACATCTATGCATTCATAGATCATTCATGATTATTGTACAGACCATTCATTAATGATCTACAGACTCATCTGTCTGTCCGTCCAACACTTTGTTCTACATATCTTATCTACACCAGACTCATGTGAAGATACATTTGGATATCTTTATGGTTGTAGATGAGAAATCCTGTGGCCGATTGTGTTGTACCACTATGAGGCCAAAATCTCAACTACTTGTAAGAGGAATCAAAATTTGATGGGCAGCTTGTCATAAAATGTATTGAGCACATTCATGCCCTTTTTAAACATTTTTCATATTAGACAGTCTTTAGAACCACTCTCAGGCCAACATGTCAAAAAGTCTAAGTAGTATAGCACAACATGTGCTGGACACATGTATATTCCCATAGGGATAAGATCGTTTCTCTGGTACCCTCCTGAGAACACAATTTTCACTTTTATGCTGGAATCAGACTAAACAATGTTTGTGTCCTGAATTTGTCAGATTCTGATTTGGTTGGGAGACGTGGCAGACTACACAATGGACCCCGGCCAATCATAGCATGCAGTACCATGTCGTATTCACTGTGCAATCTATTGCCCATGTGCAACTTTCTTTTTGCTGCTACTATTTGTGTTATCTGTCGTTTGGATTCTTACTGTTTTTTCTCTTGTACATAGTGTTTATATTATATTATTTCCCTACTCTTGCTGTTTTTATACAGTTTTTTTCTCTATCAACTTTGTTGCTGTAACATTGGAATTTCCCCATTGTAGGACAAATAAAGGAATATCTTATCGCTTATCTTATCTTATAGCTCGCTGTCTTTCTCAAATTGTGTGACGTACATTACATGGGGGATCAGCAAGGTTCTGAGGACCGACTTCACTTGTTCCATCTGTGAGCATCAACAGCAAATATTGAAAATAATAACAGTTTTATGAAAGACAGTGAACTTGGAACCATTCTTTGTCACCCGGCGGCCTTACTTATTTAGTTTTTAGGAGGTAGAAAGAGGGGGAGTGTCTGTGTTTGCAGCTCATGCATGCAGAAGATAACAATGTATCCACAGTTGCGGTTGAGCCATAATTGGCATTAGCTACACTACTGGTAAGGCTAATAATAACAAAATGATCCGATCAGTGTGAGTAGTTAGATCAGTATGTTCTTTATTCCATCCAACGTGTTTGTATTGTTGAATATAATTATTGGGCGCAAACCATGTATGCAGCATGATTAAGTCAATTTAAATTCAGTTTTGTATGTATAGCACCAAATCACAACAGTAGTGATCTCAGGGCACTTTGCGTATAGAGCAGGTCTAGACGGTACTCCTTATAAAACCAGCTATTGTCTCCATGAGCAAGCACTTGGCGACAGGGCAAGGAAAAACTCCTTTTAGGAGAACTTTTAAGAGGCAGAAACCTCTAGCAGACCCCCGACGCTAGGTGGGCGGCTGTCTGCCTCTACCAGTAGAACAGAATATACCAACCTTTATATACAGCGCAGCTTTACACAGTGACACTCCATTATATTGGTTTCCAACAACTTTCTGTAGTTGTCATTTTTACAAGTTACAGTTCCATGCAGAAAAAGTCTATGTACAACTATTGACTATTGGTTTCTTGATTTGATAAAAGCGAAGTGCAAACCTCTACCCAACCCAACGCTCTGACGGAGGAGAAAGCGAAAGCTGTATGGAAGCATTTCTTAAGACTGAGACAGATTTGAATCCTAAATACCTCCACTGATCTTCTTTTGTTGTCGTAAAGCTTTATCTCTGTGATCTGTCAAGCCTGACTGGAACTCAGCAGCTGGTCTTGCGACAATGGACACAACCACTGTGTTATCCCTCTGTAAGACTCTTTCATATGACCTCACCGTGCCTTCAGGGTGAATGTCTCACTGGGTGGTAAAGTGCTTCAGCCAGAGAGATTAGCTTTGTTTCTTTGTTAGCTGTCTAAAGAGACATTCTGCCCAAAAGCATTTTATAGATTTCTTTCGGACTTTATAAAGGTAATGAGGATGAAAAACAATACGGAGACTGACCTGAGATTCATGTTTACAGCGTATACAATGTGGTTTCCTTCCTCACAGCATGATAACACGTAACATATATTTTTTTAATGTAAATCCATCCTTTATAAAACTTGAACCGGAGGCTTGTGGAGAAAAGGTTATCTACAAAGGGATCACATATAATGAATCATGAAGTGAGGCACATTATGGGCTGTTTCTGAAGTCATGAGTCAGTCATTAAGATGTTTGTTATAAATAGTTGCTTTGCCACATAGAATCTTCTGTTTTTTAAATCCAGCCAAATTAAATTCACTGAAATATTCTGGTTTCTGTTATTGGTCTTCTTGTAGTATCTGTGTCAAAGCTGGAGCTAGAATCTAACCAACATGTGTTTTGCGTGTTTAATTTGCTCCATGCCAGTAAAGTATAAAGTGGGTTATCATCAGGCAATAAGCAGTCCCGCCTGCATGTCACTCTCAAAGCATAGTTATTATTGCCTTTAAAATAAACCATTCAACCGTGTCTCTTGCAGGTAATAGCAATAGTGATGGACATGCTCACAGACCCTCAGATCCTGCAGGACCTGATGGAGGCGGCCGGGCGTCGCTCTGTGCCCGTTTACATCTTGTTGGATAACCAAGCGGTGCCGCACTTCTTGGATATGTGCTCCAGGCTGCAGATCGGCTCACAGCACCTTCGGGTGAGAAGGACACACAGTTACCACCAAAAAAATCAACTGACTATTTTACTTTTTTTATTTTTTTATTGTAAGGTTTAATACATGTACCCAGGGCTCCCAGGAAAGCCGTATTAAAACTGGATTATCTTGGGGAAATTAAATTAGAATCATGTCATGACCTGTTGATAAAGGCTCATTCATGTAACCTTACTCAGAGTGATACAAATTACCTTCATAGCACTGCCTCACAAAAAAAGGTTTTGTACATAAATTATTTCATCTAGTTGGGAATTCTGCCACATAAAAGTAGATCTTTTGGAAAGAACAGATATGAATTTGAGTGTGTGTAAAAGGAGTAAAACTAAATTAGCTTGACATGGAAACAGAAATGAAGCTAGTGGTGTGCTGGCAAAGCTTGTGGGCAGAGGCCAAAACATAGCAGATATACGATATCTGAAACAGATGAGCGCATCAGTGCGTCAGAAAAGAGGCGTCTGTGTTTAGTTTAATTCTCAAAGAGCACAGCACAGGTTTGCTTTTTTACAGTGTTTTAGTTTTTAAGTTTCAGGACAGTCCCTGGCTTTAGTTTAGCTGTATTGCACTCTGCGTATATACATCTCAGCTACGTTTATAACTACAGTTAAAACATAGCGGGCACTCAATTGGTCAGCCTTTGTGTGGCTGCAGTGATAAAAGCCTGACTGCAGGACATGTTTATAACCAGCGAGGAATTCAATTTTATAGGTCCTCGTGGATAAAGTTTAAAATAGCGGTGGACTTAGAGAATAACAGTCATGTTCCAGTTACATTTTAAATTGCATTACACATTAACTGGCCACTTTGTGACAGACACAGATGAATTTAATGTCAAAATGGCTGCTGTGAAAATGGTCTGTTGTCATCTCCTGTATAACGTCACCCTGTTGGCATTGCGGGCTGTGTTGATTTCCCGTCCATGTTCCTGTCTGACTTTGACCCTCTGTGGCTGCAGAACATCCGGGCCAGATCACTTCATGGAATCGGCTTCGGTTTGTCCTTCGGCAGACTGCCTGGTTCACTCTGTTACAAATACATGCTGGTGGACGGGGACAAAGTCATGTTCGGCTCATACAGGTGAGGTCTGAGCATGTGTACAGTCAGTGCATGCTTTTTACTTTATTTTAAAAAGCATTAATTAAGTACACAGTAAGTTGATTGCAAATGTGGAAGGTTTGAACATTTCTGACTTGGTGTATGATAGATCTGATCTGATCTGATGTGAAGTATGTTTTTATAACTGCTGTAAATCTAATGGACCAATGAGGACACACAGAATCTAAAGAAGCTGACAATTTGTCTCTGTCCCAGTTTCTCCTGGTGTACGTCTCGTATGGATCGGAACATGATCACCGTGATGACGGGACAGGTGGTTGACTTCTTTGACCGCGACTTCCGTGAGCTTTACGCCATCTCCGAGAAGATGGACCTCTACAAGGAATTCCACGTCAGCCAACCTGCTGCTAACGTGACCTCGACGCTACGCTCCAAAGTAGAGCCCAAACGCCCGCCTCTCCCAGCAACCACATCCCGCTTCCAGGTTAGCTTAGGGGACTCACGAAAAGCTAACATCCAGGTGCCTGCACACAAATACTATAACCCCAAATACGCACTGGCGTTTGGGGACATCCCACATAAGACGGGGTCCCTGCAGGAGCGAGGACCCAGGAAAGAGTCAGTTCTGGCCGAGGCTCCCGAGGAGATGGACCTGGAAAGGCCACGATTGACCAGCAGTGAGAAGATGGACCGGCTTAGTCCGCTGCCCTCAGAAGGCCTGAGCGAAAGCTTCAAGAAGGCCAACGGAGGCACGCAGGACAAGAAAAAGCATGTCACTTGGAGGCAGAGATTTTTGAAGGGGAAATCGTCCAGTAAGCTTTCGGTTAACAGCCAGGCGGACAGTACGTGCCCTTCAACCCCTGAAACCAATCGGACTGATGAGAACCAGGACAACTTTGAGGTTATGGTGATAACTCCACCAAAATGGAAGAAGGCATCTAAACTGGGCCGGAAGACAAACTCTGATACAGCTGTCAACACTGCACAGGACAATGAGAGTAAGTCAGGAATTAAGTGGATATATAAAGACTCAATAGAGAATAATCGAAGAACCTTACCCAGTGGTTCCCAACCTGCCCTTTTCTTTTTCTCTAATCTACCAATCCTTGGTTCAACTGGTTACGGTGGGTTGTCCTTTCGGGGTCCTACAGCAAGCGGTTCTTTCTTTATTTTATTGCAAATAATCTAAATTCTTTTGAGTAATGCTGGTTTAGTCAAGTATTTTACATAATAATATGTGACATATTACCACTATATGAGAGATTATCTTCTGAATCCTTAGTGATGAATTGTACGTAATGTGTGTCTCACCTCACCAATCTCTACTGTTGTTTTTGTCTCACAGGTGTTAAGAGTCGACATCGACCAAAACAAGCCTGTAAAGTGTCTTGAGGACCGCAGAATGGCGTAAGAGTAAGATTTCCAGAAACGGACAGCAAAGTGACTTCCGTAAAACTAACTTTGAATGTGCAATATTGTAAGTACTTTATCCAGTGCCTCACGGAAAGACCAAATGAATGTACAGTCCTTCGGGTGCTGACAAATGCCGTTTTTGTATGGTTAGTGCCAAATGTAAACTCGGAAGTGTTGTGGGATGTCTGCTGCCCTTGTGTGTGGCAGGAAGGTTTGCTTAGATGTTTCCTCGTGAGCACTTGCATCTTGTTAGCTCTCTCTCTCGATGTCTGTTTGATGCACTAATAAGTTGTGGAACGTCTCGTTCATCGTGCTTTAATAAATGGTTTCAGTTAAGGAAAACTCAAAAGGTGCCAACAGATTGTTTTTTATATTTGGATGGTTCTGTGCTTTTAGACAGAATACAAAATTACTACTACTACATTCCTAGTATTGTTTGTTATATTTGTACAACAGAATGATCATTTTATTACAATATTTGCCTTTAAAAACCATGTATGTTAAGTTAGAAACTTTATTGTCCATATTGTTAAAAATTGTCTTTGGGTTTTAAAAATGGATGAGGGTAAACACAAACACAGCACCACATAAAAAAACAAATAATGTATAGTAATAAATAAATAATACAGTAAAAAATAAAATGAAATGATGGTGGAAGATGGTAGAAGGGCTAATATCTGTGAAATCCTAAGTATGGTATTTGCTTGGCTGTTCAAACATGAGGCATCACTTTGATTGCAGCTCCACCTAGCTGTGACACACAGCAGTACTCCAACACTCCGGGTGGAAAACTGGTGATTGTGCTGCACAAACCTGCCACTGGGTGCCTCCCTTGTCCTCTCTCTGCTTGTCTCCTCTGGGTGTTTGCTTACAGACCTCAGAGACCTCAGAGACCTCAGAGAGGGAGGGGGTGGGGGGTAAAGGAGGAGGGTAAAGATGTGGTGCAACACTGAAACAGGAAGTCAGAGCTGCAGCAGGAAGAGGCGTTCTTCTCACATCGTCACGTTCTTGACATACTCATTTTACTGACTAAAAATATGTTAACTTCCTGCGAGCAGTGCATTTTCATGTTTAATGCTGAAATACTGTCAGAAATACTTTCTCTCACTGGAAATTCTTAAGAACGGAATTAGGACTAGGGAGTCAGATCAGATCATGTTTTTAATTGTACCTCATCAGCCAAATTGTCCTCAAATTTCTCACCTAGCGGGCAAATTTAGAGCAGTGTGTGACAGTTAACCCTCAGTGGGACACTATGGATTGCATATGTTTACTGGTATGAGTTACTTATTTGTATGATGAAGTCAGGCTCAAGTATGCTGAGTACATACTAGAGATATGCAATTATCCCTACAAAAGCATTTTTTTAAATAAACTTCTGTTCACTACAACCTTTTGAAAGGCACAGTTACAGTTGTTGAAGCTCATCCAGGAGAATGTTATATTGAACTTTGAACCTCTTTTGTTTCAGAAAACTTTTAGTGCAATGTAGTTAAAATATTTGCTGAAAGTAGTATGTAAAGTAGTATGGTTGGTCATTTTTATATTGAAAAGGTTCAAGGTGCAGTATTGACCGTTTAACTATAACTAAGAGATTAAACTAGACTAAATAAAATGTAAGACAAGTAACAGTAGCTCTAATTGAATGGGATATTGTAACGCTTTTTACTTTGAATTTGCAGAGGTCTTCTGTGGTGTGCTACATTGTGGAGTTTTTGACCACCAGCAGGATTTTAGAGCACTGTTTTAAATGTTGAACTTAAACAATGCAAGTTTCAAAAAGGGCAATGACAATGTTTTATATACAAAAAATGATTTTTTAACCCTGGGGATAACCACGATGAGTGAGGTATTCGGCATGAAAATTAAACCTTAATCTGTACAATAAATACACCATATGACACGTTTAGTCCAGTTAGCATGGCTATGTTATATGTCTTACTCAGCACTGGATGTAGGTTAAAAGTTAACTGCTGTTCTGATGGAATTTATTTGACTTTATATTCAGTCTGCAGTGTGGACCTGCTACTCACTGAAATATTGTAATCTAATGATGGTGACACGTAAACTATATGTCTTTTTTACCATATTTACCCTGGATTTAACATATACATTATCAAGAACAATGAGTTAAATATGTTTACTATATACAAGTGTTTATCATGGCCAAAGAAAGCTGCACATAACGTCTGCTAGTTAGATACAATTAGATGGTTCTGTAACCTCTACATGTGATACTGCATTAAACCACAAAGGTGGTTTAGGTGTTTCAACCTTTAAGGGGCGCACATAAGCATGTGAACAGAGCATGTCAACATACTCACACATGAAAACAAAGAGGCTGTAAGTATGAGGAAGTGAGGAGTGGTCTGGTGGTTTTGTGTGCGTTCAGCTGAAAACACAGCTGTCACTTTGCTCCCTAAATAATAAACAGGCCTAAATGTCAACAGGTACCTGAATGCTTTTTATTAAATAATTAATATGTGAGAAAATAACAAATACAATACTTACAGTTTACACATGGTAATTAAATCAAAGCGGACAGAATGCATATTGCACTTAATGTACTATGCTAATAAAGGTAGGTGAAGCATAAACAAATGCAGGCTTTGTCTGATTAGACAAAGTGTTCTATGTCACTGTATAAAGTACTTTAAAAAAAATGCTTGAAAATAGATCTATATTTACAAAATGAAGCACAATCATCGTCTTCAGATGTATAAGTAGCGTATTTACAGATTGACGCATAAGCAGTAATCTTCAAATGACACAACTGTAGCAGTGGCATACAGTTTAGCGCTCTCGTGCAGGACTAAAGCAGTTTACTGTTACTTTACTAGTTTTTTTAACCTTATCAGAACTTTTAAGAAGCTGAGAAATGTCTTTTTTATAGCATACGTAGAACTGCTGAGACATTAAATGGTTAATTTGTCTTTCTAATCCTACAAACTAAGTCATGTGGAGCAGACATCAACTTATCGAAAAATGCATATAGAAAATGCAATAAATACACTGCCACTTTTTTTGTAAATTCTGTAAACAGAAGTTAAAATACCTACACAAAGCTCGGTCCACAACATGTAATGACAAAACACCTTATTGTCGATAAATTCTTCGTTACTTGTCAGACTGACAACGAGAGCAGGAAAAATTAGTCAACGTTTTCACCTTTGACTTAGTTTAGTCCAGTCTGGAAAAAGAGAAGTGGAAAGAGAAGTCCCTCTTTTAGCCTGAATGACCACCGCCGGTGTCTCGTCTTCAGCGTCCTCGCTCAGTTGTGTTGTAGCGTGTTTTTTACAACTTAAAGGGGGACTTAATCCCGCTGTGGCACAGTGCCATAAATGTCCATGGGGGGCGCTGGACAGCTCAGTCCTGAGGGGCTTGGTTTATGACCTTCTTCTTACGGACGGAGACCAAGTCGTAGAAAGGATCCTTGGTGATACTTGCTCTGTTTGAAGTAAAGAAGAAGGTTTGAAGGTTAAGACTTGGTTTTAAGGTTATGGAGGATTAGGTCTAGATTAGGTTTGGTTCGGTTTAAGGAGAAATTCAATATAAAACTCATCTAATGATGAAAAATCCAATAGTAAAAATAGGATAAGGGTTGGAGCGAGGCATTCAGTTGTGATAATTAAGGTTAGGGAAACTGAAATTTGACTGTGTTGGTGACTCACAACTATCACTATCATTCTGAGACAGAACAGGCAGCTATTTTCATAGAAGCGCTCTGTCAAACCCACTGTATGTCACCTGTCTACCACAGCCCACAGATGAAGTTAGGGACTAGCTTGTGAACACCATGGGACTGTAGTCCATGCACAGTAGTTGCTTTCAGAGATCAGCCACTGAGTTAATGAGTAAAATGTAATAATCAAAACATAAAGAAGTACTGGCTATAATTACAGAAACAATAAGTTGGTTGTAGGTCATCTTTTAAAAAGTAACTCCATCCAGCAAGCACCAATAATGCTGCATGTGCTGCCAGGTATGGCTGACAACGTGCCACATCCTGTGTAGCACAGCACTCCATAGTACACTAAAATACAACATCTGATCACAACTGGATGTGGTCTCAAGCAAAACAGGCCACACCTGACTTCACCCAGCTGTGGTGTTGGGTGTGGAGTGATGTTTAACAGACTTAAATCTTTCACCCGCAGAGGAAGGAGAAGTGGTGTTTTTCCTCGATACAAGATCTAGTGGAGAGTAACTCTTTTAACGGTGGATGTAAAAATGTTTAGAGGGCTTGTGTGTTACAGTTGCCATCCTGTGGTGTATGAGTATGAGCTACTGAAGGACTACACTCAGTGTTGTGATATATGTATGAGATATTTAGTTAGAGTTTTTGTTTATTTCCTTTCTTGTTCAAGGTGTGTGTGTCTCTGACCTGATGGCCTCGATCCAGGAGTCTCTCTCCTCAGCGCTGGCAGCACAGATGGTGTAAGACTGGTGCTTCCCCTCCACCACTCTACCATCCGTCTCCGTTTTACACGCTTTGATCTTCTGCCCTCGACTGTTGGGGTTGTACAGCTCCAGACAGTACTAGACGACATCAGAACCATGTGATAATCAATTTATCTATCCCCAGATCTATATTGAGTGCCACATCCACAGACCAGTCCCTAGTCAACTAAATACAATTTGCTTTCAAACATGTTGTGCTGCAAGGAAACGCAGCTGACAGTATCGTACCGGTTTGCGAGGATATGGAACTTCTCTCACACAAAGGTTCTCTAAGGGGATGATGCCTCTGGGCTCCTTATCCTGCAGGCAGATTAAAAAGAGATGGAGTGAGTCAGGTGGTGTATTAGGAGGGCATTGGTGTCATAAAAAAGAAGAGAAGCGCACACACAGAATGATTTGTCAATCACAAGGTAGCCACGCCTTAAAGCATATTCTGCTTTATTGTCTATTTTACTCTAAATGGGTTCATACTTTACAAAATAAACACCATGGTGTATGGAAGAAAGCTTGAAACTAGTGATAAAAAAACCATAAACTCAATATGAAACTGAGCTTTAAAACTGAGAAGTAGGGTCATTTCTTAAGGCTCAATACAATTGGACTTATTTTTTTCAGCCAGTGGAGCTACCCCCTGCTGGCCATTAGCAAGAATGCAGGTTTAAGACACTTCCAAGTTAGCTTCATTTCACAGGCCAGGAAGCTCTGTTCACTAATTGTATACTGTGAATGGGATTGGAGGAAAGAAACAGTGTTACAGCCTTACAGTGGTGAACTCAAAGTAGTAGAGGCAGTTGTCAGTCAGGATGAACCATCTCCTCTTCCACGTCTTAACCCGACCTCCTGAGATACAGAGAAAGCGCTGTGAGTTGTCAGTGGGAACAAGATTTCAAAAGTTGTATAACTTCACAAAAAGATGACCCAAATTCGCAGTTAAACTTCTGGTAACACTGACGTCATGTGGTTTTCATGCTGACAAAGAAGTGTAGACTCCACTGTTGGGTCATTTTCTGACTGCTTCCTTTGTACTTCCCTGTTTTTAACCTGATGTAGGTGCGGTGAGATATAATATAGTGCTGCAGCCCAGAGCACAGTTAAACCTCTTCTCATTTTGGCTCATTTTGGTATTTATATTTGTTAAACATCCCAAAATATTCAGAATTATTCATTAAAACAGACTATTTTGTAGAGGTGTGTTACCAAGCTTGAGCAGCCAGCCTTCTCTGTCAGGGTTGAAGAAGGTGTGTGTGAGATCATTGCCATCATCTTCTGGGATTTTGAAAGGCTCGTTGCGAATACTCTCGTACAGTTTCTGAGTAGAAAGGAGTTGAAAATGTCAAGAAATACAAAAAGAAAGACAACGCCAGCTAAAATACTGCTGTCATCATTTACATATAATTCCATTCACTTAAACTAAGACACCAAAGCACAAACACGCCTGTGTGTGATTTCTGTAAAAAGTGACACTGAAGCTGTTGTTTTCAGTTAGAGTGGGACTTTGGTGTGTTCACACATCTTTAATCTAACACCAGCCCACAGTCTGGGCCATTACCAATTTATCCAGACTACTGTTAGTCGTGACTGACCTGCAGGTGGAAACTGGGCCTGAGAACAACGTGGATGTGGTTACATATGTGTGTTTCGGTTCCTGGTGATTGTGAGATAGTGCTGCATCATTTCTTCCAAGCAAAGGAAAAACTGCATGGTTTCACAAAATATAGCTAATTTTTACTTTCATTTTTAAAAATTTGTTTACTATTTTTTACTTAGTGATTTTCATACCCATAACTCACTAATACCCTCTGTCAGAGTAATATATATGGTATGTATAATGTCTTCTTGTGGTTCCTTCTACTCTATAAATATAAACTTGCATGCTTGGGAAATGAAAACTATTCATTCAGAAGTGAAAGTGTCACTTTCTGTTTTGCTATATCAAGCAGAGGGATTCACTTGAATACCCTAAATAATTCTATTCTCCATATCTAAATAGACACACCTTACGCTGCGTACTGGTATGTGGTGAGAAGCACAAAAAGTCTGCATCCCAGTAAGTACCCACAAATAGAAAAGCTACTTTTTGGGGGGTGCAAAGCGCTTTGAGTCATAAAAAACTTTGAAACTTTAAAATATAAACCTATTTCACAACATACAGTACAATATATTGATCCTACTTAATGAAAAAGTAAAAAAAAAAGTAATTAGTTCCATTAACACCTCAAATTCTGTATTCTGTATAACACATTTTCTAAAAACAAGATATTGTGATTTAACAAGCAGCAACCTTAAAGTTAGGAGGCGTTTACTGACCATCAGCAGCAGCTTAACTTTAGCCACAGAGTGTAATGTGTTATGTGTTACTGTCAACTTGTATTGTTTGTGAATCCAACGTTTTTTACTCTGTGCAATACAGCTCCATTGATTTCCAAAACTATTAAAAACGTATAAACGAGCCACAGGGTTGCCCTGGGTGATATATTCCTTCATTATGATGAGCATGGTAGTTTATTTAGAGCCAATTCCACACACAGCATCCTGCTCCTATAAATACTGACTAGCACAGTTTATTCATCTGCAGGTGAAAATTGTCCCCAACAAATGCACTCCATCTACTCCTGTTACAGTAATGGGGTTGTTACTTCCTGGTATCTAGTTTGGACATTGTGATTGGCCAGTGGTGCTCACCGAGAGCAGGTCATCAGGTAGATTCCCGCCGTTGTTGATGCCTCTGTTCATGGAGATGAAACGCTCCAGAGTCGTCTTGTCCTTCACATTGGGGTTGTGGAGGCTGGTGTTGAGCATGATGATGGCGAATGACAGGATGTAGCAAGTGTCTGACAGAGGAAGACGCACACACACAAGAAGAAGCAACATGATGTTCATTAAGGGTCACGTAATGCAGTTAACATAAATATAGAGTCAGTGAAGAAGAGAAAGATTTGGAAAGAAGAAATGAAAGTATGAATGAGGTAGTGTGGTCAAAACACCCCCTGTTATGCACACACGTTTTGACACACATAAATGCAGTCCAGAAAGGAAGTGGACAGAGGTATATTTAGTAAACGCACCAGTTGACTGGAAGACCTGAGTGTTGCAGTCACAGTAGCGTGTGGCGAAAGCCTCCATCATACGGTCGATCTTCTGGGCTTCACCAGGCAGACGGAAACTCCACAGGAACTGTCTGTCACACGCACACACCACAATAACGTAAAGCTCTATATGCAAGGTATACATGTTTATTCAGGTTTGTAACCTGTGTGTCAACTTCACATGCACCCACATCTGGAAAGTGAGTGTGTCTTGGCAGCAGGTGGACGGCTTCCAAGTTCCAAGCAATGACCGATTATCTGTGGTGTGACTTTATGCAATAACATTTTCTCACAAATGTACAAACACACATCACTGGAAGTCTGGTCATTAATTTCTATATTAGATAATAGCAGTGGTTAGTGATTTACTTTCCAGTTAGTTAATGTAATTAGTACTAATGTACTACTTTTTACGTACTACGATTTTGACATACACGTACTTTACTTGAACACATATTTAATTTAATTTAATTTACTTCATTACATTTGGAGAAAATGATTGTACTTTTTATTTCACTGTGTTGATTTGACAGCTATAGTTATTAGTCTCTCTGCAAAATATGAATTTACATACAGCTAATTAAGATTAGATTACAAGCCCACAGCCACGCTACTGCATGGTAGTTGGTGCTAAATGCTAATATCAGTATGCTAATGCTGATGTTACCATGGTCACCATCTTAGCTTAGCATGCTATCATTGGTCGCAGCACAGGCAGAGATATTTCAACTTTTAGTCACAGGTCAAGCTTGACACATTTTCCGTGATGGAAAGTGGTGGTATCTTTTCACTGTAGTCTTCCTGTCTGGTAATTGCTCAGATGTTCCAAACCCGACACCCCCTGTTTGTGATGCAGGCGTTCTGTTTAACCCTTGTATGGTATTCGGGTCAAATTGAAATGTTATTTTCTGTGATAAACATGTACAAACAAAAAAAAAACCAGTTGAGCACACATTGATTTTAACGTGTGAAATTGATGAACTGCCCCTCTTTTTTTGTTCTGTATTTAGGTCTGCCAGTCTCTCACACAGGTAGCACAATGTTCCACTGATGATGTGACATGTCTGTGCTAACAGCAGCCTCGCTCATAGTCTACCTCATGTGTGAAAACTAACTGAAGTTTGTAGCTACTGTTGTGGCCGATGACAGGTAGACTATGACCAGTGTTGGGTGGTAAAGGACTGTCATGTTATTTGAGGAGGCCCCGCAAACATACAAGAATGAGTAGACAGTCTCTATGTACAGGGTCCAGAATTTTGTGCTACGCCCCTGATTGGTAGGCAATTTCCAGTCCAAAGTTAATCAAACCAATCACAAATTTTTCTGACTCTGTAAAAAATAAAGTAGTAATTGCATATTGCCATCTATTTGTCATTGATTAATTCCCTTCTTCAAAGCAGTCTTTTTCCATTATTGTCCAGTTATTCACACACATTAACCTTTTAAGTTGGTAAACTTATTGTACTGATGCTCTTATTGTAAGTGAATGCTGACAAGAACTACACATGCAGGTTTTTTCTGTAGAGGAGACAGGAGTGAAGATGAAGGGAGCTGACCTGAGGGCTTGGACCAGGTTGAGGTCGGAAAATTCATGCAGCTCCACAAAGGCCTTCAGGGTCTGGAGGTGGAGCTCCTCTCTGTGGGACAGATGGGAGGAGGAAGATACATGAAACTAGAGGAAGGTATTCACTTTCCCTGTTGGAACCTGCCCTCAAACCTCCACCTGCCTTCTTTCTTCACCCATTCAGATTCCCCTCTTTCCATATAACTCTCATCTCATGGCTGCGTTTCCTTCCTCCACCTTTCTTCTGTCCTATCTTTCTCATGAATTTTAGTTTTGTTTTTCATTCTTTCCATTATTAATCTATTCATCATCCTTCTCTCGTATCTACCTGATATGTATTTTCTCCTTTCGTGTACCTTTTCTGTCTTAAATCCTCAATGTCCTCCTCATCTCTTCTCCTTTCTCTCCATACTCGCTACTCTCTGCCATTGTCCTTATCACCACATCTATACCTCTTTACCTCCTTGTCTTTCAGCCTCCTCCTCTTTTTCCTACTGTCTATCCACTCCTTCTCCTCCTCCTCCTCACCTTTCTCCAAGAAATTCTCCAATGGCTGTCTTGTTAAGCCCCTCCTCCTTGTAGAGGAACTCAGCGATGGATTGAGCGCTTCCAGCCAGCAAATTATTCTCTACCAGGTAATTCATGCCCTGCACACACACACACGAACAAACACAAAGCAGATGGTTTACTAGACATGTACATTTTTTGTATGTCCACATTGTTTTCTGTTTGGGATTTGTTTTACTTCTCCTGCAGCAAAACTTGCATAGGTATTTTATTTTTAGTTTATGACCTAAAACATGCACACACACAC